ATAGCCTCTTTTTAAGCTCTTCTATAAGTATGTCTATAGGCATATGACCTTTCAGATTTTCTAACCGAATCTTTTTTCGAATACTATATACATCCTGTGCCATTATTGAAATTATAGTATTATTTTGCCAAAGAGAAGATAATATTTCTCTTGGACGAACATCTGCATTTGATATTTCTTTTATATGCTCTTGGGCTTGTTCATCTGGCCTTCTGAGAGATGGATGAGCCAAAGTACTTTCAGATGGTCATGATTGTGTGTTGATTTATGGATAGATAAGGTCTATGTATTATCATTTCCTTTGGTACCACATACAGAAAAAGGGCATTTCATTAATCTAGAACTTGTGTTTCTTTGATGTGTTTTATCAGTTAAGCCCATACGATTTCTATACACTTCTCAATCACAGCCTAAGTATACTTTATTTTTTTTGATCTTACAATGGATATACCATAGCCATTGGAGGTGCCGAATGTTTATACGTGCTTAATTAATAAATTTTGATTTGGAAATTGACTAGTAGGAGGAGCAGGAATAGATATTGTAACCTCTTTTTAATCCATAAAAAAAATTATTAACCATATTCTTTTTTTATAGTTTCAAGAAAAGTCGTGAATATAGTGATAAAACATATATACCTTTAATACATTTAGTATTTTAAATTTCCAACTGCACAGGTTCAACACGTCAGATTTATAGGTATGTATGTTTTAGACTAAACAACTTTTGGCTCAAGAATTTATTAAATGCCACCAAACAATTTTTTTTAAAAAAAAAAAAAAAATTGCAAGCGCAAAATGCAAAACCTGAAAAAACTCAAAATACATAGATTTTTCTTTTATATATGTTTAATGATTCATCACAATGCTATCACAAACCATAGACACTGAAGTATTTAACTTTATTATTTAATAAATAAAAAACTTTTGATCTACCTTTATAATTATATAATGTAAAACACGTCTGATTATAATCGTAGGTGCTTATTAGTATAACTTAACTATGATGATATAAAAATTACTACAAATAGTTTTAAAGCAAAACTAAGCTGTAAGTTTTCATTTATTGTGATTATATGAATTTTGTAATTTTAATAAGAATGTGATCAAACTCAAATTTATTTTGTTTATATAGTTGTTTCCTCCTTATATTATACTGTGTCGAAATATTAATTGCAATATCACGAGCCAATAAGGATCTGCTTAATAAGACTGTGTGTCAGAAATTGATATGCAAATTTTCTGAAAAGTGAACTTTGAAATTAATTGAAGTAGCATAGTTTAATAGTTGAATGACTGCTATAATAATACAATACTGATTCTGGTAATTCAGTTGATCACTCATGTCAATTTTTTTTAAATTATGCTTCACACTTAACGACTTTATATTAGACACATTCTTCATTCTACCTCACAAATCTGTTACGATTTCAAACGATCCTGCGAATATGATTTATAGAAGTAGCGATAAGAGAACAGAACAAGACATCACTCGGTCGTATAAGAATATTAAAAATACAATCTCTTAGAACTGTCTCAGGTGAGTCTTACCATTGTGACATGTAATTGGTTCTTAATGTGTATATTTTTGTAAGTAATTATTATTCTCTTTTATTCTAGTTCAAATCACAAGTAATTTTAGAACTTACGTACTATCTATATATCATATTGTTAGATGTTAACAAGTCAGAAAGTGGGTTTTGTTTATACACCTTCAGTTTTTTGAGGAAAAAGCTTTATAGGATTTCTTCTAGTGCCTTTTGGGCACGTTCTGTGGCTTTTTCTTTGAACTCCCTATGATATCTACTAATCCATTTTTGTATCATTGAAACTTTAGGCACATCATCTTGTTCGATTTCTCCACTTAATACAAACTCCTGAAGTTTCTCATACATCCCTTGTGCTGTAAGCTTATCTCGAGAATTTAAGTTACCGTTCAAATACATACATTCTAGCATATTTTTGACTTGTTGTTTTATTCTTTTGCCTTCACCTTTTCCACCAAGTTCTTGGTTTTCTTTCAAAGCCTACCCTTTTGCAAGCAAATAGTTATCATCAATGCTATCTATCTCCATTTTAATATGATCTTAATTGTTAAGCAATAATTAGTTATTATTCGAATTTGGTTTTCAAATTTTATATAGTACTTACTTTGATTTTTATTTTCTAGATCTTTTTGTTCCTCTTCATCTTTTTGCCACAATGTATTTGATAAGAAATTTATAATGATACAAAAATTTAGTAAAATTAGCAAACTTGTAATAGTATAATGATATAGCTTTATTTAGTATCGGGCAACTGTTATATTAAGAATTGATCTTTTTAGTTACTAATTTATTTACTTGAGACTTGTATTTGTTAGTTACATACAATTTATAATGCATCTTGGTAAGTAATATTATGACTGTTGTTTAGAACATATTTACATATCTAATGATCTGTTTGGTATTAGCATAGTCTACTTTTTAGAAGGCACAGTATGTGAAGATATTACTGGTTCTGGGTGGACAATTTCTTCATTGCATAATTTTGCAATTTGAGTTGGAGAAAATTGAAGATAAGATCCAATATGTAGTAAAGAACATGCTCGGATATATCCTGCATAATTGCCATTTACTGGCCATTCCCACTAAAAATATTTAGAAATTCCAGTCATGGTACCAACTAATGGTTTATTTTTTTTTTGTTTTGAATCTGATATTTTCATAGTCATATTTATTTGATTTCTGTTTGGTTCAAGATTTGCCAGATATATTCCAGCCAAATTTTTTGCTGCTTCTACAATATCTGAACTGTCAGTTATATTACAACTAATTCGTATATAACGTTTAATTGCATGAGTTATCTATTTATTACGATTGTTTAATAAGTAGTTAAAGTAATTAAAATTTGATATACAGTCAAACTTTTTTAAATACAACTTGTATAAATAAGAGTTTTAATAGCTTGCACTTAAAGAGCAATAGAAAAAATTGATTTATGATGTTTAGTATATATTTGGATCAGAGTTAGAGATTGCATTTATGAAGTTGTATTTGGAGAAGTCTACTGTATTTTTTTAAAAAAAATTGTAATTCACCGATGCATATTGTGAGTCTATAGTGGTTTTCGCTTCACCTGATTCAAGAAACAGCCATCCACGTACTTGAATATCATACCATTCATTCCAATAAGCTACTATAGTTATTAGTTGGCTATTATGATAATGTGCTCCATTATCCGATATGATTTGTATCCACTTAGGTTTATTTTCAAGTGTTGAAAATACTGCTTCAAAGGAAGATGTCGTAAACCACGCATCTTGTTTTGTATCAGTACTCCAATAATCATATGCACTAATTTCTAATTCTGACTTATTTTTAGCAAGAGTAAAAACTAGAAGTGTATGCAATGTCCACCCTTATTTGCCAAAAAATTCTTACCTGGTTTTTCTTGCTGATTTAGATAAAATTCTTATTTTATAATCAGCAATTATAACAGCACTGTCTTGATCTAGCTGTGCTAAAAGATAGCTATATTGAGTATTTAGATAGACTTTTCTTGCATGATGTGCAAGATAATATTTGAGTTTTTCTTGAATTTCATTTAGTTTTTGGTAATATTGGGTAGGAATATGTACTTTCAAATCACTAAACAAAATAAAAAATTCATTACATTTTTCACATCTTCTTTGATGCTTTTGATTGCATTCACCAAAAGCGTATAAAAAACAATGATCTATGCATTCTTGATGTTGAGTTTTTCTGTCTATATTAATGATTAATTCCTTTTCAAAATCCCTTCTCATATGTTGTTTTAGCAAATCAATTTATGAAAGTATTTTACTCTATTATATTACAAAAACTGTAAGTATTTTTTATAAATTGAATTACTGTATTATTACTGTATTACATTGATTAAAAGCCTAGAGTTTAAAACAAAGTTATAATAGATGAAATTTTATAGCTTATTTTCTTAATCAATGCAGTACAGTAAATCGAAGTTAAATATAAATAAAATTTACTAATATGTTATTTTCAAAATTTTTTTAAACAATATCCACTAAATCTTCAAATAGTTCGTAGCCATACTCATTACAATTCATACATAAATCATCTATATCTGTTCAATAACGAATATTTGTTGCATTATTTAGGCGGGCCATAAATGCAGTTTTTCGCATTCTATTTGGATATTTTTCTTTGAATTTTGTCCATAATGTTTCTTTTTGATCTTGAAGATAAAGTATAGGTAATTCAGTTTTTGGATCAATTTTATATGAACTCATCGTAATATTTGATTTGTTTTGAAAAAACAACTGAAATTCTGATTCTTGAATTTTAGATAATCGATGAACAGTTCTTTGGGGAACATCAATAAGTGGTGCACCAGGTCTATGCAATCTTGTATATTTTCGAGCAGAATTTATTATATTTTTACTGATCTATTATATGAAAAAATTTGTGTAAATAAATATTTAGATTTAGATTATTTTTATTCACTTGCCCGTAATTTAGCTTAAAGTTCTTTATAATGAAAATTTTCTGCTATTATTAATAGAATTCGAGCTTTTCTCTGAGTTTTACGTTTATTAGAATTCAAAGCTACATCAAATGACTCCCAAAAAATTTCATTATCATCTGAAAAATTACTATTATTATCTAAAAATTCAATAGAATCTAATTGTAATAATTCATTATCGTATAAATATTTTAGATTCTTTTGATCAATTGTAGGATCTTTTGCACAACTCCAAAATTCAATTTTTGATTCATTTTTAGAAAATGGTATAATATTATGACAACCGCAAGTATGCAACATTGCTTTTCATGCATGAAACTCTGTCTTGAATTTTATAAGTAAGTGGATATATTTTTTTTAGTGCTTTATCCAGTTGAATTATTGTATTTTTTTGATGTAGCCAGTTAACAAATAAATTTTCCATTCTATTAATATATTAGTTGCAATTTTTCGTTGATATATATGTAGTTCAAATAATGCATCGAGTATACCAGGTGTTTCCTAATTATATAGTGTACATGAAATTGTAGACTGATATTGTTGTACTAAAGAATGATTAGATCCAAAAAGTGTTGTTCCATCATATTTTGCAAGTATATTAGTTTTTTTCCATACTGCATCCATCGTTATATCTTCATAATGAAAATTGATTTTGTCTTCTTTATAGAAATTAAGATAATACATATTATTTGCAATACATTGATGTACAAGATAATTTTTCTCTCCTTTTTTAGCTATAAGTAATGATTCAAACCTATCAGTTATTTTATTACCAATATTTGATACTACTATGTTAAATTGTTTGAATTTAAAAAATAATGGTATAAATATAACATTATTTAATAATTGAGAGACTATAGTTTCTTGATTAAATCCCAATATTGCCGGTCCAGATAGTTCTGTTTTGTCTTGTAAAAAAAAATGTTTTATATATTGTTGTAATTGCTGCTGATGGAAAAAACAATATTTCAGATTTTAAGCTATCACAACTACATAAAAATCCTGGTTTTAAAGAATTTATTTTATTTTGAACTATGGTTATTGTAAATTGTGTTTGGTTTAATATAACTACTACTCGCATATAAAGACGGTAGGGTATGGCGATTGGTTTATTGTTTTTGGTTTTAAAAACCTACCAAATTTGTGCATATGGTCCATAATGTAAGTTTGAATATATTAGATCATTTTCTAACAAAGTAACATTATATTGGCGTGATTCTTTCATATTTGTAGTTATTATTGTTAAACCTTTGACATTCAGAAATAGCAAAATTTTAATATATTAAAGCCTGACAAATTTTATTATTATATGTCGATCATTTTGCCTCATTAACTCACGATATAGCAATTAATTTTAAAGCCTCCCTATAATGTTTAAATAGATGCTATAAAAACACATGAATATATTATATATTCAACAGTTGAAAGTATCATTAAATCAAATCATTATCCACAAACATTAATCCAACTTGTATGTTAAGTGATGATAGATGATGAAAATGTATCGTATGTTAAGTGATACAGGTGATGAAAATGTATCATATGTTAAGTGATAATGGATGATGAAAATGTATCCCTTTTTATAATAATAATGTCTTGATCAATTCGTTAGTATGCCCTATTATTACAATCTAAAAATTTTGCTAGCAATCACAATCAGATATAATAAAAAAAATGTGACAGATCAAATTAATATTCATAACTTAAAATTTGATATAGATTTGTATTTTGTGAATTAACAAAAGGTTGCTTGTAAAATTTTGATTAAATACAAAATAATTTGCATCTATAATATAAAATTGCGATCTACATATTATGCAACGTAGACATTCAATAAACATACACTATTAATTGACCATAATGTATTACAGGGGTGTGGCAATACTAAAAAGAGGTGTGGAAATACCAATTCCCTTTATTTATTGTTACAGATTAAAATGAAATCTGATCAAAATGAAACTAGGGACCTCTTATGTTTACCTTTAGAGTCTATAAAACCTATATATACTCATTTATTAATAAACCTAACCCTAAACCCTACCGTTAATGCTAAAAAGAACCCCAAAAATGTTCTTCAAAAATTTTTAAATTTTCTTTAAAAAACAAAAAAAATTTTATTTTGATCAGATTTCATTTTAATCTGTAATATTCATTAACTCTTCTATTGAACTATGTGCATTTCTCTTTAATGACTACACACTTTTTCCAACAAGGTAATATTATCTTAACAGCTGTTAACTAAATCGGGTAAGTGTCATTTCTTTAATAAAATCATTTGATAAGTGCTTGACTTTCATAAGATTATATTTTAATGCTTCATTATAGAAGACTTGGCTTGGACAGGTTTTCTTGCATAAAATTGTTAGATAAAAATCGTGAATCTCAAAGCACTGCAGTATAACAGTGTTTGTGTAATGATTTCATGCATCCAACATACATAATTCTGCATAATTCTTTAATTCTGCAAGCACATGGTTTTGCTAGTAACAATATTTGTATTTGCTAATAAATAATAATAACAGATTTTATTGATATAAAAATATAAAAACAACCAAAAGTAATTATATAATATATTGTATATATACAATATATTAATTTTTAATAATGATATGGGCTAGGTGCTGAGAAAAAGAACCAAATTGACATTTTTTTCAAAAGTAATTTTTTTATATAAATTAATTTAGAATAAGATTAGAATCACTTTTCACTTAAGACA